TTATATCAGGTCGGTTTACGGTCTATAACATTAATACTAATGGTTTTTATATCAGGTCGGTTTACAGTCTATAACATCCTTTCGCTAAAAAACAAACTAAATGTGTTAACTTGTCCTTATGTAGCCTGTGAAAAAATAAAAATACATTGATCAAGCGATATAACACCATGTTAATTTTAAATTCTGAAATTTGTTTTTGTTTCTGGCGGGTATCCCAAGAAAAAAATTACATTCACTATCTGCCCTAGCCGTCTCTACTTTAGCAGTGTAAGACTAGAGGAAAGGCACAACCCACTCTTTGGGCTACTCTTTTACCAACGAATAATGGGATTGATCGTCACATTATAACGCTCCCACGGCTGAGAGGTGTGACAGGGATTCGAACTCGCGACACTCAGATTGCGAGTCGAGTGCCTTAACCACCTGACCATGCCGGGCCCATGGCTACTGATGCTGTACGTTGTTAATAAAAACATTTTTAAGTTACAGCCGGAATCTCAACTATCAAACATATTCTCTTAGGCCTTATACATAGCACTTAATTTATACTACCAGTAACCACAGATGGTATTAAAGAACGCAGCTGTGTGATCTAAAATTAGTTTATGAAGTCGTCATTCCCAGCGATCACTTAAGTTCTGAAAAAACAAACCTGAACCGATACAATAAATGGTGTATGTATCTAGGGTTTACCTGTCTGTCTAACTGTACTATTTTACAATATTAATTCAAACCACGCTTATTATAGAAATTTTAGGTATAAGGATCGTTATAGAACTGGCTACAAAAATAACGACCATTGTAGAAATACTGGGTATGTGGAAAGTACAGCTAAGTAAATCATTCCAAAGTTCAAAAAGTAAACTAAATTTCAGAGGTACAACATTTTAATCATTTATTCACAGCTTCGGGTAACACTGACACCCAACATTGTAGCTACCACTCTTCGTGTAGAAATCTAAAGGTTACAGTAGAACTAACAGGGTGCAACTTCTTAGTTCATGGTAGTGATACCCGCATACTAAGTACAGTAATAATTGGAATTTGAAACACATGAAAATGCAATGCATTTTGTAAGACTTTGACAGGCAGATAGATACAGATGTTTTTGGCAACACGAGAAAAACATCAAATATACATGGAAAGGTTTGTACAGGAGACATTTGTATTTGTTTGTGCACGATTAGAACTGGCTGAGGACCTCGGAGTTTGACGCGTTATTTGTTTTTGTCTCAAACCTCTGACATCCATCAGGTTTCGCGCGTCCTTGGTAGCACGTGCGCCTGACTTTACTGAAAGTGGGGGCAAGTGCAAGTAAGCGAACGGGAAAACTTTTTGCTAAAAATATTCAAAGTGGAGTGACACGTGCTCCTTTTGCCCCATCACCCCTGAGTAGGCGTCTTTGACTGTTAGGTACAACCAGAGATCGAGTATAAGAACTTGTTTTGATTTTAACGGTAAGTAATGAGGAAGACAATGAATCTTGTGCAGTTTAAAAGCCCTGTAGACAAACATCACTGCCTTTTTGACGTTAGTACTAGCATAACATGTCGAAATTCGACACAATATATAGAGAGTTGTGGAATTTCACTCAATTCACATTCTTATGTAACCACAGAAAATCATATATTTGGCCACTAAGATACGCTTTTTCTAAAATTTCCGACAGTTTTCATACTATGAGTACTCCCCAAGACTTCAAAGGTTTTTATTCAGTAAGCCCTGTTTATGAACTTACTGGCAACAGAACGACTTCAAAGGTTTGAAGTAGTCATCCATGTTTTTGCACTTGTTAAAATAATTCTTAGATCTCAACAACACAATTAAATTTGTAAACAACACTTGCAATATTCTCACCTTCAGAGGCAAACATTTCTCACCATTAGAGTGACCATAACCTTGGGCCGGATTAAGGGTTAGTGGGGCCCTAGGCTCAAGTAATATTTGGGAATAATAATAACTCACTCTTGCCTCTATTCTACCGGTTTTAGTGACCATAATAAATGGTACAAATAAAAGGGAATCCTCAATAGCCGCGACACTTGAAATTCTTTTACGTAGTATTAGGCTAAATTAATCTATGATACCTTTGTTTCCCTTTTTATTATCTATATTTTTGTGCGCCAGCAATTCTAAGCATGGGGCGCGCGTATACCTTATTCGATTTTATTACTCATCAGGATCTTTACCAGCCCACCCTCAAATTGAAATTCTTTTAGGCAGGATTAGAATAAATTAATCTATGATAGTTTGACCTCCGGAATCCATAACTGTAATTATAGCTCAAATCGGTCAAGAGATTACGGAGCTATGAGCTAAAAGTTTGTATTGAAAAACAAAACAAAAACTCGTAGCTGCGGCTAAAAATATTAACATATTTTATCTTTTCTGACTTGAACTATTTCCGTTTCCGACACGAACCCTACATTGCACTATATAAACAAAAATCATTGGTATCTACATGCTACAATTTATATACTGCATTTCAACGAATTAATTACTATTTTCATGTTAACACCATTTAGTCACGAAGTAATAGCATTTTATTATTGTTAAACAACCATTTTATATCAAAGTGTAAAGCTCAGGCGATCCGACAGCCATATATAGTTGTGTACTTGGCGCCACCTAGTAGAATTTTAAGAAACTTTTCCTATATCATAACTTTTAAGGTATTCAACTTGTCAGTCATGTAATACTTTTCTGTTTGCTTGCTGCTAACGTCATTGTGACTGTCAGACCTTCTTAATGGTATATTGAAATGAACGATTTTAAAGGTTTTAATATATCAATAGATTTAGTGTTTTGATGTTTGCTTATGTTCCCTTACCTTTAAAGTTTGGAGAAGGCTTGATTGGGTAGTCAAAGAAACCTTTATTTCACTACCTATTCCAGCATCTCCAAACTTTATTTTCTAAAAAGCGAGCTCCTCGCTATCAAATTTGAATTTCAAGTTTCCTTACTTTTACGACATATGGTCAAGAATGTTCATTGTTGGCAAATTTCAAGTTCCCTTACCTTTACGACATATGGTCAAGAATGTTCATTGTTGGCAAATTTCAAGTTCCCTTATCTTTATGACATATGGTCAAGAATGTTCATTGTAGGCAAATTTCAAGTTCCCTTACTTTTACGATATATGGTCAAGAATGTTCATTGTTGGCAAATTTCAAGTTTCCTTACTTTTACGACATATGGTCAAGAATGATCATTGTTGGTAAATTTCAAGTTCCCTTACCTTTACGATATATAGTCAAGAATGTTTATTGTTGGCAAATTATTAGGCACGAGTTATTGAAAGAATCTCCGACCTCCTCAAAAGTTGTTGCAAAGATAAATCGGTGTTCATGCACCAAATCTCAGTTAGTTATGAAATACGTTATTTTTTTATTTCTTTTGATAGGCATAAATTAAGTTCATGTTTGTATCTGGTATTTTTAAGATATTTCAAAACTTTAAAATTAGCATATCTAGCCTTCTGGAGGCTCAGCGGTAAGTCCGAGGGCTTATAATGTTATAAGAATTGGGTTTCTGTTTCTGCGGTGGGTAGAACACAGATACATAATTATTTAGTATTGCGCTTAACAACAAAAATGTATCTAGATTTATGAAACGTATGAGCTATTCTCTGACACATCACAGGCTAAATTATCATGTATACTTAGCAAGAAGGAACAAGTTTTAACCAGTTATTAGGCCTAAAGACTAATAAAGGAGCGTTACTCGCTCGTCCTAAAAGATCCAATTTTTTTAACGCTAAAGTAACAAGAAAAAGCAAACTTTGTGAAGTCAATACAAATTGTTTTGCCTCTTCATTCCGCCATTTACACTGACGAGAATGAAATCTCTATCTTGTAAAAATATTTTACGAAATCTAGTTTAATGCTACCCTGCTCGATATATTTTCAGCCCAAGTGGCACGTTATGCAACTCATGATCAGGTCATACACATACAGAGTTACTGTAGATGGTGGAGACATTTTATGATAAAGAGTTGGAATGATAAAACGTGGTCAATGTTGGGATAAGAACAGCAAATGAAACGTTTGGCTAATCTTAAGATTCCAGCCCATAAATGCTGGCGGGTTTACGTTCTTTCTGATGTATTTTTGGACATTTTATGTCACTAAATGTTCACATTATTTCCTGCTACGATTACCAGTAAACAGTGGGCCTTCAACTAATGTTCCAATGGCCATCCAATTTGTATCCTTGTCATTTCGCGGACTAGAACCTTGGATGTTATTAGTCCACGACGGCCCACCTCGTTCGTCGCATTAAAGCATGTTCTATCATAATATATATATATATAATTCTCAGTATCCCATTAACAATATTGACAAATTCTGAAAATCTTTACTTTTACAAAAGCAGTAGAATTTACTAATGTGATTTTTAGGGATTTAAGTATCACATTCGTTTCAAACCTCCATAATACCCCCAAGTATTTTAGTCACAATTTTCACTAGCAATACAAAGTGTTTCTATCAATTTCAAGAGTTTCATACAATTCTAACTCTACAGTATAAATGTATCACTTGTATCATTCTCACAGAGTACTTTCTGGTAACGTACTAATTGGCAGTGAACAAAAATGGCTAGCTAAAAATTATTATTCAAAAGTCTCATACAACTGAAATTGGAGACAAATGTCGAACTAATGTTTTAATTAATATTATTTTGAATCTTAAGTTAAAAAATAATCAAATATTTCTTTTATAAAATTGCAGATCTAACATGGTTTAGTTTGCCTGGCATTCTGATTAAACTATCACGGCTCCGCCATCTATTCGTCAAATGTTAAATTACATTTATGTATTTTTAAGAAACTCGTATATAATTTCTCACACTACAACTACTTATATTCAATTTTACAACACCACAGTTGAATATTTTTATAAGCCTCTATAAGCTAAACATAAATAATGATTATCTTTACTGTTTTGCCAATTTAGTAAGACAACAAGAATTTTAAACTAATCAAAAAATTCTTTATTAATCCCATTGTAGATAAACATCTAAAGATAAAGCACAAAACTATCTATATACACAAAACGAAAATGATCAAGTTAAGGTGCCTGCTTTTTGTGCTGCAGCCATTGCAGCTTCGTTAGCTTGCATTTGGAATTCTTGGAATCTTTGAGTTATTCGTTGATTCATCTTCAGATACTTTTCCATGCAATTCATGGCACACCTATCCTGTACGGAGAAAAAAACAAAATATATATTTCTTCCCAGAACCATTCTCTGACATAAATTATACTTACATTCCTGAGATTCAATCTTTCAAGTTGGATACCCATAATTATGTCATGGCGGTAATAAAGGCTAACCAAAAACTGTACTAAAGTGTACAGAATGATCTAAAATTATCTTTCTTATTTTAAAATTTAATAATTGAATAACTAAAGAAATACAACCATGCATTTTTCAACATCTTGTAGCCCAACTTAAAAAGTTTTTATTATCATGTTTTTTTCACAGTGAGAGTCTTACCCCGTAAAATGGCAACCATTCAAGAAAAGGCTCAATGCATCGTTTGGCTTGCAGGGTGAGCTAATTCTATGGCCTCTGCGTTCACCAGACATGAATCTACTAAACTTTTATTTGGGGGTATGTTAAGTATATCGTGTATCGCACACCAATAGCAAACAGCAAGCATGGAGCTAAAGACGTCATCGCCACTGTAACTGTGGACATGTTGCAGCAAACATGGACTGAAATCGAACATCAGTTAGAGGTCCTGAGAGCCACTGATGGTACAAATGTAGAAGTCTAATGACATGTCAATAAAAGCTGTTTGGGTTTGGCTCCAAGATGCTGAAAACAGCATGGTTGTATTTCTTTAGTTATTTAATTACTAAATTTGAAAATAGGAAAGATAATTTTAGACCACCCTGTATATCTGTCAGAAGTAGAGATTAAACAAAATAATTTTAGTTCCAAGTGCAAAAACAACAACAAAATATAATACTGTTTTGTTCTGAAACCTGACTGTCGTTACTACATACTTTAAATGTACTAATTCGTGCATTTTAACAGTAAGCCAGAACTGTGTAGAAAAAAAAGTAATCTATCCAATATCTTTATCTCACACTGGGACAAATATAATATCACCACCACATTTTTTGTTATTGTTTGTACAGAATTATTTTGTCACAACTACTGAACAATTTTCCGATTAGCTGTTGGACAATTATTTTATTGCTATAATTGTTTTTAATGCATATTTCTCTCTCTAAGGATATATATATATGTATCATCCTACATCTGTTATATAGTGGTTTGTAAAAAAAATAAGCTAAAAAAGTACTTTTTCTTTCTCTGTTGAACAAGCAAAATATGACTACAATTTCAATATTCATATCTGAACACCTGAAATGATATCCTTACATAATTTTGTAAGAAACACCTACCTACTGAGCAACAAAAACATGAAACAATCTTGTCAGGTTAATGTTATTTTACATATTCTTCCTTATATTTTAATTCTTAAAGAGTAAAATGAAAACACAAAACTCCTGATGGAAATATCTGTACCTACTTCTTTATCTCGAACTTGGCGAACTGTAAAATCATGGACACAGTCTGTGAAGCACAACTCAGATAATTTGTTGTAAGATATAAGGAAGTCTTTGAACTGAAAACAATGGAAACAATAAGTTTAGAAGCAGTCATAATTAATGAAAATTCATCTTATATTAAAATACTTTCAAATGAATAAATGACACCAAACTTAGTGCTGTATTTCATTCTATAGTTTATCCATTTGTAAGTTTGTTACTCTGGATGAAATACTATTTTTAATGCTTTTGAAGCACTTTAATACATATTCGATGACGAGGAACCCACTTTGAGATTAATAATGGCTGGAGACGGCTTAAATGGGTAATGAAGAAAAACTTTAATATAAGTTTAACATGACAGCAAATGTACAACGTTTCGACAAGGGTTTTTCCTCAACCCCCGATGATGACAAAAACCTGTCGAAAAGGTGTACATTTTCTGTCATGTTT